GGTATAGTGGCTCCTGCTTATAATGCTAGCTACAAGGGAGGCAGAGATGGGGAGGATTCCACCAAGACAAAAAATTCATGAGAAACCATCTCAATCAATAAGCTGGGCACAGTGTTCCACCCCTATGATTGCAGCTACTTGGGAGGCACAGATTGGGCCAGCCCAGAAGAGCTCATAGAACTCTTATCTCAACAGAAAGTCTGGGAACTCTGGTTCATGCTAGTAATCCCAACTACGGTGGAAAGCGTAAGTAGGAGGATCACAGTCCAGGCAAATCTGGGTAAAGTAGAAAAATAACCCAAGCAAGAAGAATTGGAGGGGGCTGGGAAGGTGGCTCAGTGGTAGAGTGCTTGCCTTGCATGCATGAGGCTCTGGGTTCGATTCCTCAGCACCACATAAGCAAAAAGAAAAAGCCGCAAGTGGCGCTGTGGCTCAAGTGGTAGAGCGCTAGCCTTGAGCTGAAGAGCTGAGGGACAGCGCCCAGGCCCAGAGTTCAGGCCCCAGGACCGGACACCCCCCCCCAAAAAAAAAGAAGAGTTGGAGGTGTGGATCAGCAGTAGAGTGCCTGCTGAGCAGATGTAAAGCTGTGTGTACAAAGCCCATTTCCCACACACAATAATTACACACATACACACACATATACACACATACACTTGACAAAGCACTGGCCAATCTGTTCTACTGAACGAATTCATTGAGGACGCTGGGCTCTCTTTGTTAGAGCTAGTCAAAGGTCACAGCTGTTACTGTGCTCCATATTCCTGAGCAGAAAATGGAGTCTTACTGATGATGAAGTTGCCTTCCAAAGGAGATTAGGGATGATAATGAGTTATGAAAGGGATACCCTGAGTTCAGAAGGTGACAGGGAACATCATTTGGAGCATTAGAGCAGGACTTAATCCTCCCAGGGTGGCAATGTGTGGAGCTGCGTGGCACTGAGGGGTTCCTCTTGAACGAGTCAGGTAGAAAAGCAGACCTAAATGTGTATTGCTTTAATTAGCGGCGTGAGAAGCATCATGACTGAGTTTCCTGCCCAGGCTGGCTTCAAACCAAGATCCTCAGATCTCAGCCTTCCGAGTAGCTAGGATGACAGGTATGAACCACTGGTAATGGCTTTAGCCTCTTTTTTTTTTTTTTGTCGGTCGTGGGCTTGAACTCTGGGCCTGGGCGCTGTCCCTCAGCTCTTCAGCTCAAGGCGAGCGCTCTACCACTTGAGCTACAGCGCCACTTCCGGTTTTCTGGTGGTTTATTGGAGATAGGAGTCTCACGGTCTCTCCTGCCCGGGCTGGCTCAGATCCTCAGATCTGATCCTCAGATCTCAGCCTCCTGAGTAGCTAGGATTACAGGCGTGAGCCACCAGCACCCGGCTTTAGCCTCTTTTTTAAGTTTTGCTGTAAACATGGTAAAGTCAAGGAAGATCGACCAATTGTTCTGCTGTGAATACTAGCGAAGCGTCTTTCATCTGGGTGAGATTCTGGAGAGAAAGCCCTCACAAACACAGGCCTACACAGAACGGCTGGTTCATGCATTTGCACCTGCTCTTCTGATCCACACACAAGACTGTTCTCTACTACCTGTAAATTTATTCTAAAAATCAATGCATGCTTTGATGTTTGATAAAGCATTTGGCACAGTGCTAAAAGTGAACGCAGGGGAGGAAAAGGACTTTGTTCTAATCTACATCACAGAGGTGTTGGGGATGGTTTTCTTTGAATGGTAACCATCTCCTAACTTGAGAGGTGCAAAGGCTGAATTCTTACCTAAAGGGGACCCAGGACCAGCTGATCTTAACTGCAGTCCTCAGATCTCAGCCTCCTGAGTAGCTGGGATTACAGGTGTGAGCCCCAGTGCCGGGCCCTGAGTTCAAGCCCCATGACTGACTGTTACTCCTACTACTACTAATAATAATAACAATAATAAGAATAGCAGCACACTGGATGATTAGCATGTTCTTCACCTTGGCTAGCACTCATTTTCCTTAGCATTTCATTCTATGCAGTGCAACAGAGTACAGTGACTTGTCCCAGATGGCACAGCCAGCAAGCAGGAGAAGCACAGGATTTCCTTTGCCTTTCTGTAAGCTCTGATCTGACTGGTTACACAATCACAAGAGGGGCTTGTGTTTTCCCCTTGACTGTGACTGAGGCCCCATGGTGCTTAGCTGTTCCTGCCTGCGCTTGCCCCACCACCCCTTCTCATGCCACGCACGTCACCAGTCCATCAGCTACTTTGTCTTTTTCTCTCTGAAGTTGAATGTCACCTAAACTTTAATCGCCTGAGACACCTAAATAATGACTTTATAGCTTGCCTTTATTCATTCATTTATATTTTTTATATGCTGGTCCTGGGGCTTGGACTCAGGACCTGGGCACTGTCCCTTAGCCTTTTCACTTAGGATTGCTGCTCTACTGCATGAGCCATACTTCCACTCTGGTTTTTCGATGGTTAGTTGATGAGTTTCAAGGATTTTTCTGTCAGGGTTGGCTTTGAACCTCCACCCTCCGATCTCAGCCTTCGGAGTAGCTAGGATTACAGGTTTGAGCCACTCAGACCCTGCCCAAGTTTATAGCTTTTTTTTTTTTTTTTTTTAAAGAAACTTGCCTTATCAAAAGTAATGATAGGAGTTAGAGTTCTGGGATTTTTTTCCCTACAATAGAATACCATTTTAAATATTTTAAATCTTCAGAATCATTTTATAATAGGACAAGGAATTTTTGTGGCTAAAATTTTTCTTGAAAAAAAACTTCTGGGGGCTGGGAAGGTGGCTCAGTGGTAGAGCGCTTGCCTTGCATGCATGAGGCCCTGGGTTCAATTCCTCAACATCACATAAGCAAAAAGAAAAAAGCCGGAAGTGGCGCTGTGGCTCAAGTGGTAGAGCACTAGCCTTGAGCTGAAGAGCTGAGGGACAGTGCCCAGGCCCAGAGTTCAGGCCCCATGACCGGACCCCCCCCCCAAAAAAAAAAAAAAACAACTTTTGGAAAGCACAAATGATTGTTACTGAATTAAGGTATTTAAGGTGTTTATTTTCTTCTTTTGGTGACTCGACATACTTTTTTTCTTTTTGTCCCTCATAGGGCTTGAACTCTGGACCTGGGCACTGTCCCTGAACTCTTTTGCTCAAGGCTAGCACTCTACCACGTAAGCCACAGTGCCACTTCCAGCTTTTTCTGTTTATATGGTACTGAAGAATCAAGCCCAGGGCTTCATGCATGCTAGGCAAGCACTTTACCACTAAGCCATATTCCTAGCCAGTTTATAACTTTTTTTAAAAAAGAAGAAACTTGCCTCATTGAAAGTAATGATACTGTTTCATTTTAGGAGTTAGAGTTCTAGGTTTTTTCCACAATGGAAATTAGATACCATTTTAAATATTTTAAAACCTTAGAATCATTTTACAATAGGACAGGGAATTTTTTTGTGGCTAAAATTTTTCTTGGGGAAAACTTTGGAAAGCACAAAACAATTGTTACTGAATTAAGGTGTCTATTTTCTTCTTTTGGTGACTCTAGACTTTTTTTTTTGGTCAGTTGTGGGACTTGAACTCTGGGCCTACGCATTGTCCCTGAGCTCCTTTTGCTCAAGGCTAGCACTCTACCACTTGAGCCACAGCACCACTTCCAGCTTTTCTGTGATTAACTGGAGATAAAAGTCTCATAGACTTTTCTACCTGGGCTTGGCTCCAAACCACGATTCTCAAATCTCAGCCTCCTGAGTAGCTTGGATTACAGGCATGAGCCACTGGCATTAGGCTTAGATGTACTTTTGAAAACTGAATTTTGAGCTGGTTTCATTAAGTGGGAACATGCCCTTCCCTCTGTGTTTATCTGGTGATAGTGTGTGTGTATTTGTGTGTGTGCGCGCGCGTGTGTGTGCATGCACACCACACACGTACACTGTAGCGCTGAGGATGGAGGCTCAGCCCTTGTTTGTGCTAGGCAAACGTTCTACACTGAACTATATCGTTAGCTTTGTCACCAAACTCTTAAAAGTAACCAGCTGAAAAATATTAGCTAGAACAAGATAATTCTCAATACGGAAAAGCAAATAATAATGCAAGCAGAATGAGCAGATACTACAGTTGCAACCACCTCTGAAGCCAGTGTTGAAGCATGTGGAGAGGCCTGAGGTCAGCGGGGCCGCCATGTGGGAAAGTTAGCACGTGCTCAGGAAGGCACTGTTTGCTACACAGTGAATGAGGGATTGGTTATCTAATACTGGGGTTGGAATTGCCAGTCAGTAATTTTAAGAAGAAAAAATTATATTTAGATTTACAGCTCTCCCCAAAACAATCAAAATCATTTTAGTTGAATTTGAATTACATATGTATAATTATATCATTGGAAATTTAGAAGAGAAGCCGGGGCTGGCGAGGATGTCTGTAGTCTCAGCTACTCAGGAGGCTGAGTCAGGAGAATCCTTTGAGCCAAGAGCTCCAGTGAGACTCCTCACCCTAAAAATAAAGTGGAAGCTGAGCATTGGTCGCTCATGCCTGTCGTCCTAGCTACTCAGGAGGCTGAGATCTGAGGATCACAGTTCAATGCCAGCCCTGGCAGGAAAGTCTCTGAGAGTCTTATCTCCAATTAACCACCAGAAAACCAGAAGTGGCGCTGTGGCTCAAGGTGGTAGAGCAAAAGAGCTCAGAGACAGCACCCAGGTCCTGAGTTCTAGCCCCATGACTGACAAAAATAAAAGAGGAAGAAGAGAAGAAATCTCAAAGAAGACTGAATGTATTTTAATTCTAGAGTTGAAGACATTGAAAAGACTCGAAAAAACTGTGGGATTACCATTGTATTAAAAATAAAAAGGACCATTTTAAAAAACCAGAAAAGACAATAAGTATAAACGAGTGTGCTTGGCGGGAAGTGTCACTCTGTGAGCCTCACAGGAGAATCTTGTCCACTTCCTGCTTACAATTCACCACTTGGGCTGGAGACTGTGTGCTGTCTAGATTAGTGAGTGGAGCGTTGCAGCTCACCTTCCCTGGGATTTTCTCTTTCCAGGTGTGTGGAGAATTACACAGGCGCTCGCTGTGAAGAGGTTTTCCTCCCCAGCCTCAGCGTCCAGAGCAAAAGCAACGTGCCTGCAGGCGTGGTGGCGCTGGCTGTGCTGGTGACCGTGGCCTTTGCAGCCCTCTACTTCCTCTGCAGGTAACGAGAACAATGAGAAAGCAATGGTGCCCTGGGTCACGGACACGCTCTTCACGTGCGGAGGCTCTTCCAGGCCCTCCTTTACATTTAGCAAGCTCTCTCTAACAGTGCCTTAGGACTAGGACATGGTTCAGGTGAGACGAGCCTGCCTAGCCAGCCCGAGGCCCGGTTCAAACCCCAGAACTGAGCTGGACACCGAGGCGGAGATCAGGAGATGCAGGTGGGAAGCCCAGCCTGGGCAGGAGAGTCTGTGAGACTCCGTTTCTATTTAACCAGCAAAAAGCTGTTGAGACCTAGCACAAGTGGTAGAGCACCAGCATGGAGCAAGAAAGCTGAGCAAGAGCTTAACGCTGAGTTCAAGCCCCAGTACACACACACACACACACATACACACACACACACACACACACGCGCGCGCGCAATGAGACCAGGCCATCCTTTACTGTAACATTTTTTTTGATCCATTAGTAGTTGCAGTTGGTTTAAGTGGAAAGTCTTTTGCCCCTTGGTAATAGTAGTTCCATCTCTGAATGAGGCCCAAATGGCACCCTGCTAATGATAAAATCAGGGCTAGAACCAGCAGTGTTTCCTGAAGGCCAAGGGGCATTTAGGAAAAACACAGCATTTTGTTATGGCAGAAATGGTTTGAGTTCATTTTCATTCATGTAAGTTGATCCTTAAAAAAATTGAAGCTGGGCTGGGATGTTGCTTAGTGGTAGAGAGCTTGCCTAGCATGCATGAAGCACTGGATTCGATTCCTCAGTACCACATACACAGAAAAAGCGGGAAATGGTGCTGTTGCTCAAGTGATAGAGTGCTAGCCTTGAGCAAAAGAAGCTCAGGGACAGTGCCTGGGCCCTGAGTTCAGCCCTGGGATGGGCACACATACAAAAAAGCATGAGTTCATTAACCACCCCCTGCCCGCCCCCTCCCCGCTGAGATATCAGCCATGCCCCCTAAGGGAACGGACCAAGAGGCACCTCTCAGCCCCAGGGCGGAGCTTCCTGCACTGTGAGGCTTACTCAATGAAGGGGCGCCCTTTGGGGGGTGGGGCTCAGGTGATTTCCACTAACTATGGAAAGACCTTGAGTCCCCAGATGTGCACATGTCACTTTGTGTTCTGTGACATCGTCTCTCTCTCCTGTCAGGAGGGGGCATCTTCCGAGGTCCCGGTGGAGCCCGTGTGAGGTCAGCCTGGTGGAGGCGGACGGTGCCAGCGCCGGCCACCGTGAGTACAGCCCCGGGCTGTGCCCCAGCTCCGAGGGACACTGAGACATGGTCCTTGCTTACACGGATTTAGGTTAGGTCCATTCAGAAAAGGTGGATTTGCATACTACGAACTATTTTTCACAGGACGATAACTTTTTGTATGTGTGCCAGTCCTGGGGTTCAAACTTATAGCCTGGTCATTCTCCCTGAGCTTCTTTTGCTTCCTACCACTTGAGCCATAGCTCCACTTCTGGCTTTTTTTTTTTTTCTTAGTAGTTAATTGGTGATTAAGGGGCTGGGTATGTAGCCTAGTGGTAGAGTGCTTGCCTAGCATGCATGAAGCCCTGGGTTCGATTCCTCAGCACCACATACACAGAAAAAGCTGGAAGTGGAGCTGAGGCTCAAGTCGTAGAGTGCTAGCCTTGAGCAAAAGAAGCTCAGGGACAGCGCCCAGGCCCTGAGTTCAAGTCCCAGGACTGGCAAAAATAAATAAGTAAAAAAAAATGGAGATTAAGACCCTCACAGACTTTCTTGCCCAGGCTGCCATTGAACCATGATCCTCAGCCTTTTGAGTAGCTGGGATGACAGGCCCCCATGCCTGGCTTATGTTACTTTTGACATAGGTCATGGAGAACACGGAGAGAACACCAAAGTTTTGAACCACATTCCTGTCAACAAAGGCAGAAAATGAAACAGCAAAAGACAACGTAATTTAAATGCCCATCTTTCCTTCCTTGAATAAAAGACCATCATACCACGAAGTTGTCTTTGTGCTGAGAGGATCAGGTGGCCAGGGGCTGGATGCTCATTGGCGCACATGCCACCTGCCAGCAGGGCGGTGGCTCACCAGCTAAGTACTAGGCAAAAATCACTCAAGGAAAGTCCTTAGGAAAACATGGAGGTCTTAGGAAAAATGACAAGAATTACTGTAATGCAAGCAATGTCTGGCAGAGCGCTGTAGAACCCATCTACCGCAATCAGCTATCCACGAAGCTTCAAGAAGAGATGAAGAAGCTATGGTGGGTCTGGGAAGGTGGCTCAGTGGTAGAGCGCTTGCCTTGCATGCATGAGGCCCTGGGTTCAACTCCTCAGCACCACATAAGCAGAAAAAGCCGCAAGTGGCGCTGTGGCTCAAGTGGTAGAGCACTAGTCTACAGCTGAAGAGCTGAGGGTCAGCACCAAGGCCCAGAGTTCAGGCCCCACGACCACCAAAAATCAGAAACAAAAAACTAATGGATAAAAAAAAAAAAACCAAAAAAACAAAACAAAAAAAAAACTAATGGATAGGTCAGAGTTTTCTACTTAAGTTACACCAAAACACAATAAAAACAAAAAAGGAGAAGCAACTTTAAGGAAGTGTGAAGAGTCTGGAAGGGTCACTGCCTGGTCAGGAGCACTGCCTAGCATGACGGCCAGCGGGCTCCCATCAGGCCCCGTGCTGTCCCCACTGCTGCTAGCATCTGAAGTACTCTCCTGTCCACCTGTCATGACTTCACCAACAGAGGTGTAGCGGACAGAAATCAAAGAGCGTCATTTAATTTCTTAAATTGACTATTCGGAGAGAGTTAGACTTAGCCCCAGTTTTATGACGTGCCTGTGAATTTGGTGTCAAACGCAAACCTTATGTCCTTAAGTTCTCCACTGCTGTCTACGTTTTCAGTTTGAGCTCCCATGTTTAAGTCTCGGAGCCATTTTGCTTTGATGTACGGCATTAGTGAAAGGCCTCCACTTATTTGTCAGCTGCATGGTCTCTCTCGTCCACTAATCTTGTTGAAAGAATCGTCCTTCATGAGATGTTCAGGCTCCAGTGAAGAGTCATTTCACTGCAGAGATTTCTCTTGCAGGCTCTGTCTCATCATTCTGAGATTTTGTCTAAATATTAGGATATACTTTTCAGACTGAAAAACAAACCACCCACCCATCGCTGCGATTTTGACTGGGGTTGTGCTGAATCACTAGATCACTCCGAGTAACACTGAGCTTTCCAGCACATGAATGTAGACGGATTTCCACTTATGGCGTTAGTTGCTTTCAGCTATGGTGTGTAGTCCTCACTGTACAAATCTTTCATCTCTTGATTCCTTTGTATGCTAGTGTAAGTTGAACTCACACCGTTCCCCTTTCGGCTTGTCCTTTGTCAGTGAAGAAATGCTCATTTTTGGTGTGGAATGTGACTCTTGTGGCATTGCTAAGTCCACTTCGGTTCTGAGTCTGTTGTGGAATCTTAGGTTTGCCTCACGTGTGCTCCTGTCTCGCATCCTCCTTGCTTGTCTGGATGCCTGCTTTCTTTTCTCTAATGGCTCTGCCAAGAAACTTTGGTACTTGTTGGATGGAAATGGTGGAAGCGAGCACTCTTGTTCAGATGTGGGAAATGTTTCAGGCTTCTGCTTCCAGTTCATTAAGTGGCTTTGATCACAAAGGGGGGTTGAATTGCCTGCATCAGTGAAGATGGCCAAATCTAATGTGGTATAGTGATGGATTTTCATCTTGAACCATCCTTGCATTCTAGAAACCAACCCTATCTTAATATATTTCCTAGTGGTACTGAGGCTTTTTCTGAACCCATGTCCCAAGGGCTGATGATCCACACAGTAATCCCCCTGCATCCACAGGCACACAATCCAAGCCCCCAGGGATGTCTGTAGTTGTCTGGGACCATGTGACACTCTGGCCTGGGACCGGCCACATGCACAGTGGTGATGCCATCCATAATGCTGCCTGGTAACATTGAGCTCTAGTTTGGGGTGCGTGGATTCTGTTTATACAGTGTTGAAATTCACTAGAGATGTTTCACAAACTACATCCCTGCTGCTAAGCAACATGACCATATATACAATATACCTATCATAAAGTTGAATTTACAAATTTGGCACAATTACAGGTTAACATCAGGGGTAGAGAGCTTGCCTTGCATGTGTTCAGACAGGGCCTCCATCCCTGAGTGGTGGCAGTGCTGGTAGGGAGATCGACAATAAAATACAACAGTTATAACATGCTGTAATAAGACAGCTGGCATCACTACTCTTGTGCTTGGGTGCCATTAAGGAGATGCACCCTTGAAAACCACTCCTGTGCTTCATATCACAAATTGACATGTATCTGTTAGATAGTTGCCATCCTATGAGTCACGGCTACACTGAGCTTTGTTCTTCCTGCTCAGATCTGTTTTCTCCTCTACTATTTTTGCCTTGTGTATAGAATTCCTCTGTTGATTCAGTTTTGCTTTTTTGTTTTTTTTGTTTTTGTCAGTTGTGGGGCTTGAACTCTGGGCCTAGACACTGTCCCCTGAGCTCTTTCACTCAAGCCTAGTGCTCTACCACATCGAGCCACAGCTCCACTTCTGGTTTTCTGGTGGTTCATTGGAGATGAGTCTCACAGACTTTCCTGCCCGAGCTGGCTCTGAACTGCAGTCCTTAGAGCTCAGCCTCCTGAGTAGCTAGGATCAGGTATGAGCCACCACAGTCAGCTTGATTCTGGTTTTGTGTAGGATTTTGCTTTTGTGTGTCTCTGTCTACTAGGTCTGTCAGCTGGGCATTACTAGGGACGACAGCTTGTTGGCTAACCTGCTCTGTGGCCTTGCATCTTGAGTGTCTTTCTTGTTGATGGGGGGGGGGGGGCCTTTCCCACAGATCCTCTTTCCTCAAAGCTCGCTGCCTGGTTGGGGTTTGGGTTGGGAAAAGCGGTTACCCATCCATTTGTTACCATCCCTTGCCCCAGGCATCTCCGGATCCTTTACGTTCACAAGCTGTGTCCGTGTTCCATGCCGCACATCAGGTGACAAATGTACAGAGTAATTGCGAGTTAATCCTGTCCTGTTCCTTCCAGTTAGCATGAGAGCTGGGCTTCTGCCTCTGGAATAAGACTATAGGGTGTTCAATGTCTTAACTAGGATGAAGCAAACCTCTGCATTATCTGATCCTTAGAGATGACAGCAAAGAATGTGGACAGTACGGGTCCCCCTCACTTTTCAGGCACACCTCAATTTTGTTTCATGGGACCATTTCTGCAGTTTCACAATGGTTGCTGTCTCTAGGCATTTAGTTTATTATTAGCTAGAACAGTAATAATTCCTCTTTTTTTGCCAGAATTGGGACTCGAACTCAGGGCATGGGCACTATTCCTTAGCCTTTTCACTCAAGATTCCTGCTCTACCACTTGCACACCTCCACTCTAGCTCTTTGCTGGTTAATTGGAGATAAGTCTCAGATTTGTCTTCCCAGGGTTGGCTTCAAACTGCAAACCTCAGATCTCAGCTTCCTGTGTAGCTAGGATTATAGGCGTGAGCTACTAGCACCAGGCCTACTTATATCCCTTTTACGTGTTCTTTTAAGCCAAGCCTTTTAAAATTGTAGCAAATTATACAGCTTTACTGTTGGTGAAATTTCTTGCAGTCCACCTCAAGGCCTCTGAGAGGCAGAGACGACTCGTTCTCATCAGCTCCACTGCTGCCTGTGGTGTGTCAGCATCCATGTTTTCTGCTTACACGAAGGTTGAACACATGACTGACCACACTGTATGTAACAAGAAGTTGTTAAAGGAATCCCGAGGATTAGAGGAGGTTATCCTCTGAGAACGTGTTATATGAGTATTCATCCCTACTGAGGAGTCTGAGATTGGAGGATCTCGATTTGAAGCGAAGCCAGGCAAGAGAGTCGTTGGGACTCTTATCTCCAGTTAACCACCAGAAAACCAGAAATGGCACTGTGGCTCAAGTGGTAGAGCACTCACCCTGAGCTGAAGAGCGGAAGGACACCACCCAGGCTCTGAGTTCAAGACCCACAACCAACCAAACAGTTAAAAAAAAAAAAGGTACAGCTAATCTTAGGCTCATTTTGTCAATATTTTCCATTAAAAAGAATCCCTTTTCCTCTACTGTTCAGCCAACTGCGTTTAATTCTGAGGATTAAAATCTCGCCTTTGCCTTCTATTCCATGTGCCAGCCCTAAAGGACCAGTCTGGGTTGTGTTTAGTTGACCATGTGAACAAAGGGCAGATGACAGAAATAATGGAACAGAAACAGCCACATACAGCTGAAAACACTCACCAACTTTTCTCCGGACTTC